CTATGCACTTCCTAGGAAAATGTTTTAAATAAGTCAGTGTTTCATAGCTTTTCTCATTGCCAATAAAGCCAGCATTTACAAAAAACAAACAAACAAACTAATCTGCATGTTGTTAGGTGGGACATAAGCTGTGCTTGTTACTTGTGATACCACATATAACAACCCATTGTATAGTTTGCTGTGAAAAATATGCATATAGGGCACACAACATCAGGCCTGACATTAGAAAGTGATCATGGCTGCCATGACTGGATATAAATGTTGATAATATAATATACTCAGGTGGCTCAAGCCATGTACATTTATTATTTTTTGGAATTTTTGTTTGTGACCAGGCGTTTTGAGTTAACTTTTTTTTTTTATTTCCTGATGTTAGATTGAGATTATATTAAGTTCTTGTGTTATAATTCAGTTAGGGAGTAATTGAGTTTCATTCTAGATTTTGTTTCATCTATGTCTCCTGATATGAGTCTTTTCCTCTCCTCTATGTAGTCTGTCTTGTCCTCAGTGTTTTTACTTTCAGTTATCTCAGTGTGTTATTCTCTCCCTGTGTTACATTTTCTAAGCTTGTGTTGTCAAGTCTCCATTATGTTTCCTGTTGTATTTTGCAAGTGGTTTTTTTTTAATTATTATTTTCAGTGGGTTAAGTTTTGCTTCTCCTGTGGCGTCATGTTCATGTGTGTCAGCTGTGTTTCCTCAGGTGTTTCCACTTCCCTCATTACCCTCCTGTATATTTAAGTCCTCTGTCTTCCTCTCCTCCTTGTCATGTCAGCATGTCAAGTCAGGTCAGGTCACTGAGTGTTTGCTTTCAACAGTTCAGGTTCATGCTCATGTCATGTTTGAAGTACTTCACGGTTTTACATACACCTGTTGAGTTTTCATCTTATGCCTCGTGTCATTGTCTTCATAGTTTGTTTAGTTCAGTGCCAGTATAGGTTTCACTTTAGTTTCACTTGTTTTACTGTTTTTTTTTCTTAATATCAGCTGTAATAATGGTTTGATCATCAGTTCATTTCTCCTGTGTTTGCTTTTGGGTCTGCTACACAAACATGCAGGGCATGACAATTCTTTTTATATATATATACCACTGTGTTTTTGAATCTTACTTCATGGGGTAGGTAGTCTAAATCTCAAAAAGCAACAAGCAAGGTTAGAGAGTGCATTAAAGGAATGCCACAGTTATTACTCATGTTTCCTGAGTAGAATATTTCTCATTTCTAACTTTTTTTTTTTAATATTCAAGTTTATTCAACAAAAAATTATAATGTATTTAAACTGAGAGAATCTCCACCTCCCTTTTCAACTTCACTTCCACATACGTTGACCTACAGACACCATTCAAACTTAAAAACAAAGCCAAGACATTGAGCCATTCAGATTGCATGTCTCTTTTCAATATCTTTTATAGCTTTTCCTTCAGTTCCTGTTCAAGTTCCATGTTTTATTCCCACATTTCAGATTTTATAGTAGGTGCCTATATGACAGTATGTTGGCAATTCCCTGTTCCATTAGTACCTACTTGGATCAACTCTGCGTGGGTTGCAGGGTTTGCCATCAGGTTATAGTACGTGCTCAGCCAGATTTCCAAGTGATCCAAACAGGTACTAAAGTGTGACACCGTCAGACTGCATGCCACTGATTGGCTGGTCAGTAGCATCATTCGATGAGTCACTAGAGCATCTTGTTCATGGAAATAGCATTTTTGAAAATAGGCAATAAAGGAAATGGTTACAAAAAACA